TCAAAAATGAAAATTCCATTTGCTCGGCGTTAGCGTCGCGTTATTGTAGGATGTTTCATACAAATTGTATGGGCATGAGGATTTTTGACAGTTGCTTGGCGCATGACGCGCCAATTTAGGGATGGCAGTTACGATAATTGACGATTGACTGATGCTTCGCTGGTATTTTGGCAAAGCAAATCAAATCAGTTGCTGTTGAGAGTGTTCGGACGAAAAGTTTTCTTAGTGGTAAATAAGCATGAAAAATTTTGGACATTCCAAATCAATGTGGTAGATTCCAATAAATAAATTTATAAATATGTTATATGCACTTATGGTCAGCTGATTAAGTTAAGTGACATTTTGACCAGTTTTGGCTATTTATATTTTTTGTTTATTTAATGTTTACCTTTTTTTTTGCTGACGGTGCTAGGCATTTTCTTCCATATAAAACAAATTGCCAATCATTAAAAATCAACGCGATTTCTTAGCGCTTGAAATTTGCACTTTGAGCTACTAAATTTTAATGGGCTATTAAACTGCATATCTAAAACTTTTCTAGAAATTCTAAATAAAAACCCAAAGCGACAGAATAAGATGCTTTTTTTAGAAATGATCTGTCATTTTCTGATAGAGAATCACTTTATGATAGACATTGATAATTTTCGTGTTGATGTAGATTACTTTCACCAACCATAAATTTAATAAAGAACGCTGCTTTTAATTCTAAAAGCTTCAGTGTTCGATCGCCCTCTTTCACCTTTTCAAAATGACTATGACACAGTTTGTAATGTCTTTTTAAACAAGACATAACATTGCGACTTATAACGCGACAGCAGATCACGCATTGCGCACACACATTCATGTTTTCTATGCAAACAAAATTTATTTCCCATTCCTCCCGAAACATTTTATGCGTGTATTATTCGAATAGTTGCACAGTGAAGTCTCAGCAGCAACTGATTTGATTTGCTTTGCCGAAGTGCTAGCAAAGCATCAGTCAATCGTCAATTATCGTAAAGGTCTGATTATGCATACTTCGCATAACTTCGCACAACCATTTGTACCAGTGCAATAAAAATTTAACTTAAGAAAATGTGAAGAAAAATCTAAACTCAACAGATCGTTAAGTTTTTAAAAGCCCTGCTAATTTATGGGTAACGGAATACATACAAAATACAAACAAAGTTCATACGAAATTACAGTTTGAAGTTTATGCGAAGTTGTGCGAAGTTATGCGGAGTATGCATAATCAGACCATATGACGCACGAAGACGACCATATCATCAATGTTGTGTTTTGCTGCAGAAAATGCCCATTCATTAATGCGCAAATAAACAAATTAAAAAAAAAAGAAGTTTCAAGGTCTGAAAGTTTTTTAGCTTACGGTGGTAGAAGTAGTAGAAATGTAGTGTTATCTATTCCACAAATGTGGTGAAGTCCGAGCACTGGCTGTTGAGCAAAACTTCGATGCTTCGCACACAAGCGCATGTGTGTGATAGTGCAAGTGCCTACCTCTGCACTATTGCATTGATAAAAACCTTATTCAGAATTGCTAATCGATGGTTTGGCTTCATGCTCTCAGTT